TATCCTTGCTTCTGGGATCCTACACCTCACTTATCATTTGAAGATATTATTTATATTTCTTTAAAAATCTCTTCCACTCTCTTATATTAATTGTTTTCTCTGATGTTAATTCTTTTTTTGAGTACCTGTATTAGGTTCTACAGCTCCTGTAACAAATTATCATAAACATGATGGCTTTAAACAACAGAAATTTATTCTCTCACAGTTCTGGAGGCCAGAAATCTGAAATCAGTATCTCTGAGCTGAAATCAAGGTATTGGCAGAGCCATACTCCCTTTGGAGGCTCTAGGGGAGAATCCATTTCTTGCTTCTTCCCAGCTTCTGGTCGCTCCAATCTCTGCCTCTGTGGTAGAGAATTGCCTTCTCCTCTTCTGTGTCAAAATTTCCCCTGCCTCTTTCACATAAGGACACTTGTGGATAATCCAGGATAATCTCCCCATCTCAATCTCAGGATTCTTAATTTAATCACATTTGCAAAGCCTTTTTTGTCGATATAAAGTAACATTTACAGGTTGCAGGGAGTAGGACCTGATATTTTGGAGGGCCATTATTCAGCTCACTATAGTTCCTTTTTCACAGTGTTTATTTTCCTAAACTGTTTAGTAATTATTTTTGGCTCAGTGTTCATGTCTTTGAATACCTTAGATGCTTACCTCAGCCTACTGCAGTGGTTATTTGAAGTGAGGGCAGGGGTGCAAGTATCTAGTCTTCTGGGCAACAGGAGGGCCTTTCTTCTGGATATCAGCAAAAATTTGGAGCTCTTTCTTACTGTGCTTCCAGTATTTCTACTTACTATTTCCACTTGAAAATAGGCCTCTGTTGGCTGCAACGTGGTACAACTGGGTAAGATTGTAAGGGTTAAACCACTTTGTTACATCATAAATAACACTCCAAGGAGGGCACCACGGTTACCCCAAGGCTCCTCCTTTTTTCAGCATCTGCTGACTCTAAGCTCGGAATATCCAGAAGTTGCACCTACTTTTTTCAGTAGTCTTCTCCTGATTGAGTTTAGGTTGGTTTATTCCTTCAATCTGTTCCCAAATATCTTTTGTCTTTCAGGATTCCTTCCAATTTCTGGGCCACTGAGAGAACTCTTCTTGCTTTGCAAGTTCTATAGGTTTTTTAGATTTTTTTCCCCCAAGAGTTTTGAGGAACATGTGGGAGGCTAAAGTACACCTTTGGTTCAAACTCCAAAATATCCTTAAACCATATTTAATGTCTTTTCCTTACACGATTATCATCTTATCTTTATTATGTCATACAAAGTTCTTAAATTACCTTATTTTCAAACCTTTTTATATATAATATATATTCTGTAACAGATCATTTATAAGGAAATGTAATATAGTAATGGAATGAGAAAAATCACTACATGATTGAGAAAGGACTCCTACTTGTGACAAGTCTAAGACAATATTCTAAAGAACAGTTCCTAAGATTAAAAAAAAACATACTTTTTTCCAAGATTTTAAATAGGCTAGAAAAAAAATTATTTTCAGGT